CTTAAGAACTCCAAAAGCTTTTTAAAATATATGATCTACGGATCAAAAATCTGGTATTCTTGGGTTTTTTGAGCTGTCTCTCTCTGAGGAATGACTGTGCTGAGTGTAAATGAATAAGCAGTAGCTGTGCTAATAAATAGCAAGGTGCTGTTAAATGGTAATAAATAGCAAGATGCCATTAAATGCAGTTGCAAGGATTATGAAGAAGCAAGACTTTGCTCAAGTAAAAAAAAATATATTTGGTTTTAATTCTGAGAACTATATTTAAATAAGACTTGGAAAAAGAATACAAGCACCTAGATAAATAGTGGTGTAGAAAGGCGGCGTTCTTTCATAAATTATGGCTATTAAAGGCTCTGTGCACTCAGTTTGGGAGTAAATTTAAGAGCCCAGACAAGTTGTGTACTTCTCACTGAAGCGGGAGGTTTTCCTCTGAGATTACAAAGAAGGGAGGAGAGGAGGAACCTTCATTTAAAGCTGTAGGTAAAGGTGACCTGAAGGGGCAAGGGAGGTCTCGTCCATCACCCTCCTGTAATGGGGGGCAGCGTGCCCACGGCCCACGCAGGGGGGTTCTTCAGGGGTGAGGGGCTCTTCCAGGGCTGGGAGAAGCAGACGGCTTCAGAGCAGCTCCGATGCAGAAATCGAGGCGGTAATCTCTCCAGAGCAGCTTTTGCACAAAGGATGCCTTGAGAGGAGGCTCAGGATGTAGTTTCTGAGACACTAATAGAGGAAGCACTTCCTGCCTCGAGAGTTACAATATATTATAATAACGTGCAAAACCAAACACAATAAACCAAATAGATGACAAGTTCTTAAGGAAATCGCGATAAGGTTGATAACATTAGGGAAGCTTTTGAGCTCTTTGCCCTCGTTTAGATGAATCACAACCAGTTTGTTCCTCAGGAGCCGTCTGCTCGGAGCAGGAGCTTGAGTCCTGTGTTAGCAGTGGACAGGAGCTCCCCTTGCTCAGCCCCAGTCGGGATTTGGTCCCATGCCTCCTGTTGACACAAAGGAGATGTCGTCCCCGCAGCACCCTAGGAGATTTACTAGGAGAAACAACCCAAGCTACACTCAGCTACCATTTTATTTGCAGCTCCATACTCTGCCCTGGCTGTCCCACCCCGTGTAGGTGTGGGGGTGCTCGTCCCCCTCCCCAAAGGCAGACGTCCCGCCGCGGTTCTCCGGAGGCCGGCGCGTGGTGGACGTGGGAGACGGGTTGTGATTTCCAGGAAGCGTTGGTCCGTCTGGGAAGCCGCGTGGTTCGGTTGCTAAGGCTGAGGATTGAGACACAAAACTTGGGGGGGTTTAGTTGTGGTGTGGCGTTGCTCCAAGCGCCTCCACGTGCCCTGTGCTCGCCCACGCGGTGGGAGTCCTCCAAAGTAGGAATGCTCGCTCACTTTCGATTTAAGTGGGAAAGTTTTTAAGATGCTTTGAAACCCTTGAGTGGCAGTGGAAGGGTGAGTGTAAGGTTTGATTTATTTGATGGGATTTTGTACAGAAATAGTCCTCTAATGTTGCACATCCTCTGGGTCAGCAGTGCTGGTATCATGGGAGGATGGCGGGAATCTAATTATTTCATCTGTCCAAAATAGCAACTTTTAGGAGGTGAGGAAATGACTACACCAAAACTATTGTATGCCATCTGCCTGCTAAAATACTTATAGAAAACATGTTTCCTGGCATATAACTTCCTAGCCATATGTCTATTGCATCATTCACAATTAAATTAAATCACCCTTAAATACTTGGACAAATTCCCAGTCTATGTGAACAAGCCTTCATCACTGTGCTGTTTGAAATTTGGACACTTGATCCTGTAAATGTTTAGTTGAAATTGGCTCAGCCGTTGTTAACCTTATACAGTTGATACTGACTGCTTCAAGATAATTCAAGCGCACGTTTCTTATTTTAGTCTTTAAATTCTTAACTATAAAAATTTGTGAGGGGTCTGAAAGGAGGAAATAATTCTTCTATATTCGTTTGCCAGGTGCTTGCAGCTTTAAACAGAGGTTTAAATGGAGAGTCCTATCAATGAGAAAAGGCGTTATCTTCCACTCATTGAATAAACAGACGGAAACAACTGAAGAACCTGGTTACAGCTGGACATTCTGAATATTTGGAATATGCTTGGAGGTGTGTACACACACCCCCCCCAACCAAAGGGCTTGCCCACTTCACAGCATCTCTGAAACATGCTCGCGAATGGGCATCAGACAACAAAATCCGTCCTGCTCCTGCTTAGGCTGGCTCAGCCTTGCCTAAGCCCCGCTGGGGGTGGCTGGCGGGGCCCCACGGCCACGCGTCCCCAGCGGGGAGCTCGGCCGGCTGCGCCTCAAAAAGCAGAGTGGTCGGATGGGTGGAAGCATCTCTCCTAAAACGCTCCAAAGACAGTGCTTGCAATTAAAGAATCATCTTAATAAATAACTGATTTCGTGGTTCTTTTGGTTTTTCATTTGAGGATCCGGCAGATTTACCTGCTGGGCCGTGCTTAGCTGAGTCACTATCCTAAAGCGAGCTCTAAGGCATGGGCTAACATAGTGAGCACAGTGGGCATAAGTATTAATGAAACCCTACATCTTTGCCCCAGGGAACGTCGTTTAAACGCAGCCCAGCTTCCACCGGCAGCCAAACCCGTGAGCTTCCCATGCTCGGTGTCTGGCACACCCGGTCATCATCTATTTTTAGCCCAGCTTGCTATTTTTACTCTGTTTTTGAAAGGTGAAACAAAACGGGCAGCCAAGGCCGGATGATCCCGTTGGTTTCTTTCATTCAGGAGCCCGGGAGAAGAATGGCAGGAAAGCCGGGGGGGGGGGGCAAAGGGGGGACCCCCCCATGCAGGCGGGGGGGCTGGGGGTGCCCCAGCTCCCGGCCCGGAGCTCCCTGCAACTCCCGTACGAACAAGGGGCTCAGCACGAGCTGATTTGTTTTATTCTTTTCTTACAGTTCACTTATTTTTAGTACCAAAATAAAATTTCTAAGATATTTGCCTTCGCTGTAGGAGGGTGGGCCCGAGCCCTCTCTCGCCAGAGGTAGCTCAGCATCTTTTTTTGATGCTGTTCAGCGTGGTGGCATGTTGGTCCTCGCCAGATGGTCTACTGTCTTCTAGTGGCTGATACTTTGAAATTTCAACTTTTTATTTTTAGTTCTGTTATTCAACCCAAATTCTCACTTCAATAGAAGAAAAAAAAAATCTGTTATTTAAATAGGACCTTTGTCTCACTCTACTTTTCTCATTTCATCTTTTGAATATATTTTCTAAACTGATATGCATGCAAACCTGTGTCATGTACCGAGTCATGCATTTACCAAAGTCTGTGTGTGTTTGAGAGAGGAAAAAAGAGAAACTGCTTGCTGGGAGCTGCTGGAGACAGCCAGTCTGTGTCCACACTCAGGTTTCATACCCTATTGTAGACCATATTTTATGGGGATATTTTGGTCTTTAATAGAGCTGTATAGCTCTGTCATTCAGTAATAGATTACTGAACATAGTAGAAATATTTATATAGATGTTGGAGAACATTTCTTAGCTACAGCTGTTTCCTTGCAAGAGACATTTTCCTGTCATGGAATCACAGAATGCTTTGGGTTGGCAGGGACCTTTAAACATCATCTCGTCCAACCCTGTCCTATGCTAAAAGCAGAAGCTGCTGGAATTTTGTCATACCAATAAATGTGTTATACACTGGAAATGCTATTTAGGGATTTATTTGTACATAAAACTACCCTAACTTTTTCTCCATCCTTTGCTGACTCTAGCCATATAACTGTACAAATGTAATGGGGACATCCACAAAAAGATACCACATTGAGCAACTGCTTCACTGTCCTTCCTTCCACAGCTATTTTCCTGGCCACCTCATTTTTGATTTCCTGTTAGCAGTGACTCCTTCAGTGACCACATCATTTAACTGTAAAAGGAAGAATTCAGACTTTAACTAGAGTTTAGTTTTCATTAGTGATCATTTACTTTTTTTTTATCCCCAAAAGGCCAAAATTATTGCTAAGATATTCCTGTTGTCTTTGATGTTCCCAGATATAGAAATCAAGAAATGGAAATGCTGAAGTATTTTTAGATAAAAAAATCTTAAAAAAAAAAAAAAAATATATATATATATATATATATATTATTTTTTAAAAAATCAATACTTGTGGAGCTACTCATGTTTCCTTAAGACCATGGTAGGATGCATTGGCCAGCCTCGTTTGCTGCCTGCTGCAGAGCAGCCCTCGTCCTGCCGGTTCCAGAGCTGGTCCCAGTGGGCCTGTGGTGCAGCCACTGGAGAATCAGAGAGCCAGGACCAACCACTTCCACTTGGTAAAGTTCAGCCTGGTAATAAAACTGAAGTCAGTATTTCTATACTGTTTTTAATGTTTCTATAATGCGTTATTGATGGAAATGAGCTCCAGGAAGTTATTTATTAGTCTCAAGTCCCTCTTCTGCTCCAGGTTTTATGCAGAAGTTTTTGCCTGTGGGTTTTTCTCTCCCCCAGACCTTCTGTAAACCATTTAATTCGTGCTCTCTGTTTGACCGAAGTCAATTTAGTGAAGCTAATGGAGTTACTTCTCTTCAGGTCAGTGATGATTTCGCATCCTTGAGTTCCTTGCTTAATTTGCTGTGAAAATTTCTGATTCTGAAGTCAGTTTTCAGAATTTCCCCCTTTCCACAGCAGTGGCCACAGCACAGCCCTGGGAGCGCGCACAGGGCTCGCCGGCAGTGGCTGGACCTGGGGTTTCTCCACTTCTCTGCTTTCATCAGATTGTGTTTACTTTGCTTTGAGGGAAGTTTAGCAGCAGGCTCCTCTCTAATCCTTCTTTCCAGCTGGAGCCTTCACTTTAACAGGAAAGCAAGCAGCTTTCAGGAAAGAGTTAAGCCCAGCGAGGCTTTGGGATCCTTTGCTGGGGAGAGGGTTGCTCTTTTATTTGTTTTGAAGCGCTGGCAGGAAAGTGGGGAGGAGAAAATTACCTAAGTGATAGTGATGTTGCCATGAACCGTATACAACTGTGAAATCAAATCGGAGAAACTCCACCTCACAGTCTTGAGCCATAAGCACAACCCCTGAAGAGAAACCCACCCCACAACCGAGTGATCTCAAAGGCTTGAACTAAAACCAAGCTACATGAGCTCAGAGCTGCTGCAGGACTGAAAACCCAAGAGCTGTCACAGCCAGAGCCAGTCTTAGTGGGAGCTGCGAGCAGGAATGCTGTTCTTGGGAAGTTTCAAAATAATGAAGTGGAGGCAGCTTTTCTGGATTGCGTTCTGTGTTGTGGAGCTGTGTGGTGAGTATTGGCTGCAGCAAATAGCAGGGTTACAAGCACTGAGCAACAGCAGCGGGAGACTAGTGCATGGGGCAACTTCTTTGTAACTTCTGAAACAGCAGCTGGGGGGGATGCGTTTTAAGGAGGGATGAGTGGGGATGGCTGCAATGTCACACAGCGAGCGCGGCAGTGACATTTCACAGAACAGCATCAGGCATCCTGGCCAACACACCCGCAGCCATGTGCTGCAAACAGAAACCGCTGCTGGTTTGAAAAGGAGAGGAATCAGGATATAAGAGCTCCCTAGAATATTACAGATAACAAGGGGATGCAAACGCAGCATGCGAAGCTGCAGAGTGAAGCCACAGTCCAAGTCGCTTCCCAGTCTTCATTGGTGTAAATTAGCCTTACTTTTACTTTGTGGCAGGAACTAAACATTTTCTGAAAATCAAATTGCCCTCTGTAAATATTAAAATCTCCTATTCCAGCTCTTCAGTCATTCTTCATATGAAAAAAGTGAATAATAATACAGAGATTTTCTCTAGGTAGTACTTTTTAAAGGGTTATATTTTAGGGAAATATTATCATTTTTGTCCCAAACCCAACAACCATAAAGTAATAAAAAGGGACTAAAAAAAGTGAAGCAGCACTCTGTGTGCTGCATAGTGTGCTGGGCCAGGAGCCAGGAACCCGTGAGTGTCTCCTCAAATGTAATTTTTCCTTACACACATGAATGTGAGCAACTAGATCTATTGAAAGAATTTGCTGTATTTTGTTCTTCTGTTTCACGGTGCTCCTTTCATGTTCCCTTTGTTGCCAAGGTATATTGCTCACCTGCACCATTGTGCCTGACCCTCCAGTCTATGTTAATTTTACAGGAAAGAAAAAAACAATTTTATTTGAAAGAAATAAAAATTCAGGACTGTCTGGTTGGGCTGCAGTGAGGAGCAAGGGAGGGTGTAGGACAAGAGTGTTTACCTGAAATGCAAAACCTGAGCTCCTTGTAGTACAGAGCAAAAGTGATACAAAAGTGATAAAAAGCTTTGCCTTTGGAAAGACAAAACCAACCCAGCGACACGCGGTTTATTAATGATGCAAAATGCCATTCCTTTTGCTAGCACAGCCAATGCTCCCCGTTTCTGCAAGATATTACAGTCCTTTATTAGCGCTTGCTGGCGAGGTTTATTTCTGTTTGATGTAGCTGCTGTGTGGAGCAGAGAAAGACGGGGGGAGCTCACCCTGGGGCTCTGCCTGTTCATCACCTTCGGGCAGTCCCAGGGGTTTCAGCGGCGGTGTCGGTCGTGCAGTTCCTGATGAAAATCCCAATTCTGGGGGGTTTGTGTTCAGGGAGGCCCCTGGCAGTGCTGCTGAGGGTGAGACCTGCCCCCCAGGACACCTTCACCCAAAAGCCATGTGTTTTACAGGGGAACCCCCCCCCCGCTCCGTGCCACGCTGCGCCAGGTTCAGGTCTTCTGCAAAAGCCACGTGTGGACTCGGTGGCGGGGATGGCAGCCAGGTACCAGGTACCTGCTCGCTGCAGGCTGGCTCCACAGCAGCCCCAGCCAGGCTCACAGCGGGGAGAATTCCACCTGAAACGCCCCGTTCTGGGCTTTGCCTGATCCTTCGGGCATCCGTCGAGTTGCAACGAGGGTGGGAGAGGTTTATGCCGGGCCCTGGTGCGCAGAGCGGGCCGATGCTCCGGGGCTGCTGGAGGATGCCCTGCCCGCGATGCTGCGAGCGGTTCACGGTGGCAAAACTGGGTGTTGATAAACCACGTGGAGAGCTGTCCTCTGCTCATCTCAGAACATGCATGGAAAAGAGAGTATATATTATATTCGTATCTAATACAAACACTTTTTTTTTTTTAACCTTTTATCTTTCTTTTTTATATCTTTTTTATTAACCTCTGCCAAACCTGATGTTTTTAAAAAAAATCTCTTTTCCTGTCACTCTAAAGGATTCTTTCTTCCCTTCATTCCTTTTGCAAGACCTAGGAAAGTTCTAAAAGTCAGGGAAGGAAAAACGAGCTTTAAAACTCACAGCTGCTTGAGTTTAACGCCCTTCAGAGGGCTGCACGTTGTAACTGCTGGAGCCAGGAGCAGCCTCGGTCCCCGGGAAGGTGCTGGGCTCCCGAGCAGCACCCAGCTGCCGGAGAGGCCCCGAGCCCACGGGATCCCTTGGTCCAGCAGCTGGGGTTTGTCTCGGGGGGGGGCTCCCCGCAGCCCCCTGCCCCACGCGCCCTGCGTGACTGCGGCCCCACACCCATATCCTGTCTGGGAGAAGGGGGAGGGAAGGGATTTTTATCAGATATTTCCAGAGGGAAGAGGGCTCCACCCGCTTGAACTCCTGCCACATGGCTGAGAGCAGGCAAAGTGGGAAGGCGCGAGCAAGGGCCGGAGCCCTCGGCGGAGGGCTGGCCACAGCTTTGGGGCTCGGTGCCCCCCGGTTCCTCATCCTCCTCCCCAGCAGCCGCTGGTGCAGCGGTACCCTGGTGAGCCGCAGCCCCTTGCCGAAGCTCAGCTGCAGCCCTTGCAGCTTCTAGAGGGCCAGCCGAGCTTGGAAAAAAGGCTTTTTAAACACGCAGAGGGGTTTGAGAAACTACCCCGGGGCACAGGGTTTCTGGGTCTGAAGTAAGCACCCAGTTAGCAAAAGGTTTGCCAAGAGGTTTGTGTGTCAGCACAGGAGGTGCAATCACTGCCTGGGAGTCCCCTGCGAGTTGCACCTCCCACCTTGCAGGGCTGGATGTGCAGGGGAGAAACCCCCCTGTTTAATTTGCTGCGGGTGCAGAGTAGGGCACAAATGACGGAAACTTTTCTCATGTTTCCTGAGTCTTTGCCACTCCAGAGCTTTTTCTTCCAAATCCTGGGTTAGTGCTCAGGGATGAGTGTTGGACCAAGTCAAGTACTTTAACATTTATTGTTGCATTTTTTAATTTCAATTGAGCTGAGATACTTCCTAAGCCCCGTTATTAAAATATCTTTAAATATCAGAGGCATTTACTTTTTAAAAGCTATATAGGAAAATCCAGTACTCCCTGTGAAGTACAGTTTTCTTTCACATATCTGCATGCTCCTGCATGTGCTAGCACTACCCGGTGAAGATTTCTCTGAGGTTAATAAATCGCTTGGCTTAAACTCTCAAACCCTTAATATTAACAAAGTGACAAAGTTTAGCAAAGCTAGTAAAAATGTATGGTGCAATAAATGACCCACTTTAGCTGAGCACCATGTGGATTATCCAGCCCACAGCTGGATCATTATTTATCTCATGAGTCCTAAGGTTTCAAAAAACGTAGCCATGTTTTCTATAAAAGTGCCTGCATACACTACAATAAAGGGAAGAAAAAGAAATACTATGTGACAGGTCTTCTCACAAATTACACTGAGCAATAATCCAGGCTTCAATTTATGATATTCAGTGGTGAAAAGGCTTTGATTAGAAATACTTCTGGCGCTTTACAGACATCTGGAATAGTTCAAAGGTGCCTGGGTGGCTGTGGTGCTTGGGGAGGTCAAGTCCAGGCGCTACATTATTCTAGTGATGTAAAGTTTCCTGCTAATGTTCATGCAAACACAAAGCTGTATGCAAAGCGTGGATTTAACTTTGTACTACTCATTATTCTGGGCATGCAGTCATGCCTTCTGCTTTTGATTTGTTAAAATTCATCAGAAAAACTTGGTGATTTAACTAGTTGGAACTGAATTATCTTGGAGAGAAGAAACTTCTCCCCTAAATAAAAGCTGTGCCAGAACTTAAGTCCCAGCTCCAGACACCTGCACCGAGCCCTCGGCAGGGCCCCCGCGTCCCCCGGTGCTCCCGCGCCCCGAGCAGCTGCAGCCTGGCTGGGATGGGATGGGACGAGATAAAATGGGATGGGATGGGATGGGATGGGATGGGATGGGATGGGATGGGATGGGACGGGATGGGACGGAATGGGATGGGACGGGATGGGATGGGATGGGATGGGATGGGATGGGATGGGACGGGATGGGATGGGATGGGACGGGACGGGATGGGATGGGATGGGATGGGATGGGATGGGACGGGATGGGATGGGATGGGACGGGACGGGATGGGACGGGACGGGACGGGATGGGACGGGACGGGACGGGATGGGATGGGATGGGATGGGATGGGATGGGATGGGATGGGATGGGACAAGATGGGATGGGACAGGATGTGATGGGTTGGAAGGGGATGGAACAGGATGAGATGGGATGGGATGGAATGCGATGGGACAAGATGGGATGGGATGGGACTGGATGGAACAGGATCAGAAGGGATGGGAAGGGGTGGGATGGGATCAGATGAGATGGGATAGGATGGGATGGAATGCAATGAGATGGAATGGGTTGAGATGGGATGGGATGGGACAGAATGGGCTGTGCCAGCACTGGTGGCCCCACGGGGCTGGGGTGGGGTGCACTCCCCCCAGCCGCCCCCCCCCCCCCCCCCCAGCACCCTCTGACACAACCACCCACCAGCTGCAGGAACAGCTGAGCAGCTCTGCCCGCTGCCACCCATCGCCAAAATAAACTTCAGTGATGTCGGTCTTTGCTTTTCATAAACCATCTAGGTTGTCTGGACCCGATCCAGCAAAGTACTGACATCCTGACAGAAAAATTCCTGCCAGGCCAACACCAAAGTGCAGGATACTGCAGCGCACGTACAGAAACGCATGTTTAACTGGCAGTGGGTGCTGCCCTGGTGCTGGCGCCGGGCGGCTGATCAGGACCTGTCAGTGCTGCTCCATCCCGAAGGGTGGTTTGGGAGGATGAAGTAACTTTTCTTGGATCTCAGGCTCCCCTGGGCAGAAATACAAATGAAACAACGTATTTTGTATGATTTTCTCTTTAGTGTCTGGATAAGAATCTTAAACAGCATCAGCCCTGGAGTAGAGACTGAAGCTGTTTGTTAAGAGTGGAAATAGATCTTCAGACTAGAAAAGGTTAAGAAATGGGAAGAAATACATTTGAACTGACTCATATAGTTCACTGCAGAAGGAAAAGCTGAAAGTGTCATCTTTGTAACGTACCAGGAAGCAATATATAAACTTTAAGTTAGAACAGCAAACCATCCTCCAAACATTCGGTTTTACCTCCAAAGATGTTTTTGCTCATGAGTCAGAGCTGATCCCAAGCCAATGGGAATGTTTCTATTTACTTTGAGATTGTGCCTGCAACTGCAAATCCAACTTATTTTTCCTGAGGAGCACAAGTGATCTCTTCCAAGGCCTGAGTCTTTCCTCCAAGGATTATAAAGCCAAACTACTATGAAATCCAGCTTTGTGCAGAGCTTTGTGCATCCCTCAGTAAGCCCGAGGATGGGGCAGGATGAGGGCAGGAACGAGCCTGTCCTCCTCTGGTGCTGCCCCCGGAGCCCTGCTGCCTCTGCAAGGCCTGCACCAAATTGTAGTACTTGCCCAGCCGAAATGGTTAGTCTGTGAGCTTCTCCACATGAGCTCTAGGGCAGCCTGCCATTTTGGGGCAAAAAAATGAATTTGTGAAAGCAGCTAACCCTACCCTGCCCTGCCCACAGGGACCCTTGGGGACAGGCAGGGGCTCGGGGCTGGGACGGGGGGTTGGCAGCCGCCCCTAACACCTTCCTCTGCCCCAAGGGAACACTTCTGGGAGCCCAACAGACACCCCCACACCGACAGCCACGGCCGTGGCAACGAAAGGCACCAGCAGCTCAGCAGCCACCGGAGCCCCTGGAACCCCCAGCAGCGCCGAGCCAACACCAGAGACATCTGGTAATCACCCCCCTCGCTCCCCCCGGGATTCCTGGTAGCATTTGCGTTAATAATCAGATTTATTAAGTGCACAGGCTCGCCTTCAGAAACTGCACAGTTGATTCGTGGGTTGTTCTCTCAGAAAAGAGCCTGATAGTATGGTCAAAAGCTTTAATCCTGTACAGAAAATCCCACCTGGGCAACCTAACGCTGTTCTCTTCAGGATGGGCAGATTTGACTCACCTTTTTCAAAATAGCCAAGAGGTGAAGGAACAAAATGCTCATTAGCCCTTTATCTCAACATACCTATTCTTTGCTCAGCAAATGGCACCCGTGAGAGGTCTGCCAGCCTTTCCAGTATGAGGCCAAGGCTCTGAAGGGCTTTGAAGCAGAGACCCTTGCACGGATGTACAGTGCCTTTCTCTTATGTTGTCTGAAATCAATACATCTTTTTGAAAACTCTGGGTCAAGGGAGAGGACGAGGGCGATGCAGGGGAGGTCGGGCAATGGCATCCTTGCTGTGGTGCAGCGTATGCCCAGGAAATTAGCCCTTTGTAAACAGATTATGAAGCGCATGTAACAATTAGGTAACTGAAGCAAGCCTAATGCGCGTTTCTTATACAGCCACTAACACGTTCTGGTACTGCTGGCTATGACAAATCAATATTGTACTTCAGTCATCGCAATGCCACGCACTGATTTTAGAGGACTTAAGCTTTCTCATGTATCCTTTTCATTGCATTTCTTCAAAACCAAAGCTGCGACCGGGTCCCTGGCAGCCAGCCCCACCTCCCCGGGGCTCAGCAGCGAGCAGCCGAGCCCACAGCCCAGCCAAACCCCCACGCAGGCGCTGGGCACCCCCTCAGACCCGCACCCCACGAGCCGAGGGGTCCCCACAACCGAGAGCCCAGCGACGCGACCCAGCACGGTGGCAGAAACCCCGGGGCCCACGGCGGCTGATACGAGCTCTCCTGCCACCTCGGAGCACCCTCCCATCTCGGCTGCCACCACGCCACAGCACGCGGTCGGGGACAGCCCCAAGGTGAGGAGGCGGCTGGGCACCTCGGGCCGTGGGACCACGCGGAGGCTGGGCTCGTCTCACAGCCCCGACAGTTCACTGGTGCCATCGCTGTGGTTTTTTTTCCCTTCCAGCCCATCACATGCCACAATGTCAAAGAAGTGAGTGACACCAGAGCCATCTGCTTGCAGCTCAATGAGTCCGTCACTTGCGTGAGTCGCAGCCCCGGGTGGCCACGTATCCCCGGGGTGGGGGGGGGGGGGGAACGACGGGACATGCAGGGGGGGGGGGGCTGCAAGCAAACACCTGAGGGCAGGTTCCTGCAGCGCTCTCAGGCTGGCAGCGATGGGGTCACCCACCGTACCTGGGGGGTGGGTTTGGGGTGGGGAGCTCACGCGGTCAATCCCTAGGGTAGAACAGCCGAGCTGTGCAAAGTGATGGAGATGGGGAGGATGATCACAGCAGTCGCAGGAGGGTCCCAAAGGGGTGATCACAGCAGTCCCAGGGGAAATGCAACCTCCTGGTTGCGTAAAACCTCCTTTTTAATGATTAAGCTCTGGGGTCAGTTCAGCTTCTAAAGGTTCTCCCACCATGTTTAGCAGGAAATTGCCTTTGTTCTTCTTCTTCCTTTTCCCTGTTGGGAATGCGAGGGCTTTTTTTTTGTCTTGCCAGCTGCCCTAGGAAAGAAATCAGGGCATCTGAAGGAGCACGGGTGGTTGATCAGTGTCCCTGTATGCACCAATTCCTAAGGGAATCCCAGGCTCTCTGTAACTGCCCTTGGCCTTGTGCACCAAAACCGAAGCATTTCTAAAAGCAGAAGAGGGTCTGGCTGAGACACTACTGTGGGTGGGCGGCAAGAAACCTTTCACACTGGGGGTAGAACCTGCAACAGAGGGCAGAAGGTGCTGGATCTTGTGGGACAGCAGACTTGGCAACGCCCTGGGTATAAAATCACAGGGATAAATTTTACTTCTGCTGGTCAGCCATACTGCCACCGCTTAGGATGAGGGAATTCTTACTTGGCTTTTCTCTGCAAATTAGCAATTAAATGGCGCTTAGCCTTGTTCCTGTTTACAGGGACTGCACTTTAGCAAAAATGCACCTGGAAGCTCCTCCGGGAGAGAGGGATCCCCAGCCCAGATACCATCTAGTGAGCAACAGCACCGCCCAGGCACAGGGTTATTGCACCTTATGCATGTGTTACAGACCTGCACATACATAAATGGATGCACATATAACACACAGAACATCCTATGGAGTCACACCTAATTGCACATACTCTTAACCCTGCCTCCACATGAAACGAGTCAAACTGCCCCGCTTCCAGCTGTGTTTTTCCGGGAGCTCTCACCCCACAGAAGACCCTCCACCTCAGCAATCATCCAGTGGGAAAATCCAGCTCAGGCTCAGCAGCTGCAGAACCTGGGAACCAGATAAGAGCGTCTGCGAGGAGAACAGATAGGAGGGAGCGTGCTGTGTCTCGTTTTCCTGCTGGCCTTTCCCAAAGCAAATGAGCAATAAGCTGGCACCCAGCGCTGCTAATTGCAAAGGGAAATTCTGACACTCCGATGAGTTCTTTCCACAGCAGAGAAAGGAAAATACACACTTGGGTCTCTTGTTCCATCTTGGCCTTTCTCACCCCAAGCCAAGCTCTATAGAAACAGCTGAAAGTGATTTGTTTGTTATTCTCTCATGGATAAGTTTCTGCATTTTTGTGTGCTAAGAGGATGTGTGGATCCGAGCACAATACTGAGGCAATTTGAAGGCAAAGAGAGGAGGGTACTGAGCTGCCTGGCTCTGCACAACGCTACAAGGCAAGAGGGTTTTCTTCTCTCCTGCAGCCCCACGTTGGTGGGGAGCAAGCGGAGGGTAAGGGCAGGGTGAGGGATTCAGCTGGAGCCAGTCTCTGTCTCGAGGGGGTGGGGATGTCCCCAGCTGGGAGGATGTTAGGGAAGCTGATAATGTCTTTTAGCAACTGTGGGCTCTGTCTCCAAGCCTGACTGTGGCTGAAAATAGACCCCAGGAGAAAGCCTATCCTGTCTGATACAGAAATTGGCCTGCAGAAGGGGAAGGCTGCAGCTCTTTGCTCCTCTTCCTCTTCCACCCAAGAGTCAGTTCAGCTCTAAAATGTGAGAAATTTGTATTTTTTTGCCTAGCCTTTGATCAGCAACCTAGCAAAAACATTGAAGACATTTCCTAAACAGGAAGGCTCAATGCTTCTTTGTTATTTCCCTCCTTTCCCAGTCCCTGCCTGGGACTTTGAAACAATAGGGCTCTTCAGGCGGCTGTTTCAGTCCAGAAATTGGAGAGACTTGCCATGCATTTCAGATCCTAAATTTAGCTTTGTTTATATGCCATTTGCAAGAGTTGCTAATAATTTCTTCATTTAATTTATTTTCATTAAGTTACGAAACAAGAAATAAGCATCTCCATTCTCTCGGTGTTGGTATTGGGGCTCAAAGCAGTGGTGAAGTGGGAGGCGAAGGTCTGACACCCAGCCCAGCGCTGTTTGTCACCTCGTGTTGCTTCTGCTCAGCTTTGCACAGCACAGATAAACCACCAGAACACAAAGGGTGAATGTACAACACTACCAGTAGTATCATCAGCACAGCTGAGATGGAGAATTGGTGGCTTTGGTTGAGTCAGTGGCTGCTTTTTTTTTGAAAATTTTGCAGAAACATTTTTTAGAGATGAAGGGATCAGACTTATGGAGTGTAATATGTGAAGAGAGCGACTACAACATTCCTCCTCCCTGCCGGATTAAACTGGCTAAATCTGAGGTGGACCATGACTGTCTGCTCCTCATCCTCGTCGGTGAGACAGGTCAGTTGGGCTGGTTCCTTTGGCTGTCCTTGGCACCCATAACGGATAATGACCTTGATGTGGGCTATGGGAGAGGGGTCTGTTTGTGGGGAAGAGGCTGTGGGACACAAATCCTCAGTTACAGCCTGAGAGGAGACTTCTCTCTGCAAGTACTGCTCTTTCTTCTGGGGTCCTGTGAGATCCACAGAGCCGTGGCTTTGCCTCTGGAGCAGCGAAGGGGCTCACGGCTGCTCCGTGTTCAGCAGTGGCCAGGCTCTTTGATGCTGGCGTTAGCTGCAGCATCACCCTCTACACAACGTGCCTCTCCTGTTTTAAACCTTGCAGATCCTGCTACAGATATGCTCCAGGAGTCTCACTGGGAAAAGGTAAATGCCCTAAGCAAATTTAGCTGGAAAAAATGGGTGGCCTGAGTGGCTGGAGAAAGGAGGTTTTTAGACGGTCAGTTGAGGCTGGGGCAGACTGAGCCTGCCTCCATCTCGGATGTGCTTGTGGAGTGTTGGCGCATGAGATGGTTGGAGCCAAACACCAGACATGCAGGGAGGCAGCAGTGCACTGTAAGAGAACTCCTATAACCAGAAATGCTTGAAATAGTTACTGTAAAATTCTGTAGTATTTTCTTAAAAAAGGCCTAGATCCCAACAATAACTCTTAGGATGTAATTGGCACTCTGCTTCTTCAAAGTACCACGCTGACGTTAATTAATTCCTCCTCTCAACACTCCAGTGAGGCTGCCATCAGCTTGTAAAGCTGAGCTCCAGGTGCCTATATAAATGGCAGCCAACAGAGCTTCAACTGCAGTGCACAGAGATATTTCAGCCGCGCAGACGCATGCTCTAGATCTCCGGTCCACGGGAGAACATTTCCCCGTGCCACAGAAGACACTAGGATGGGAAGGAGACCATGAGGCTGTGAGAGCTCACAGGGCAAGCGCAAAGCTCAGGAGCTTGGGTAGCAAAGCCCAGCCTTGTTTACATGAAGTTTAACAAGGAGGTGAAGAGCAGCATTGTTTCAAGCCTGGTGCCTGTTCAGCAGATGCATGTGTTTCCTGTTTGTCAGACTCCTGGCTCTCTTTGGTGTTTTTTCCAGTTTGGAATAAAATCCCTTAAACGAGCGAGTGTGAGGAACCACCAGGACTTTTCTCAGAAGACCCTGATCGCCTTGGTCACATCTGGACTGATGCTGGCGTTCCTGGGCTTGGCTGGTTATTTCCTGATGAAGCGGCGGAGCTGGAGCCCGGCGGGAGAGAGGCTGGTCAGTGCTTATAGATGGCAGAAGAGCAGGTAGAGAGGAGGCGGCAGCGCCGGGGCTGCGGCGGGGTGCCCGGGTGGGAGAGGAGGGGGCTGCTCCCCACCCTGGGCCTGTCCGTGTGTCCCCGGGTCGGTGGGACGGCTCGGCCCGGGCGGGGCCGAGGGCAGGAGCGGGGAGGCCAGACCGTGCGGGGTGAAGGGAAACCTCTCTTGCCTTCCAAAATTAACTCTTGGCTGATTGCTCCCGGGGGAAAAACTGCCCCTGTCTCGCTCGTACTTCTAGGTGTTAACACTTATTTTGCTCAGCAGTAAGAACTCATCCAGGAAGACCCCTCCAGAGACACAGAAACCTTATGAATTTGTCATTAAAATGACACACTTTAACTTTCATTTGCTGCGTTTGAGTTATGTCTGTCTTGTACTGATGCTGTAATAAAGGCTATTTCTCCCCTCACTTAACAAGTGATGGTAATAAAATATATCAAGAAAGAAAGGCAAAGAAATTTCCTATTTCCATTTTCCCCTTTCCAGGCAGGCTGACCTCTGAGGACTCTTCCCTACCAGTGACTTTCAGGGATGTGAGCCCTCTGTAAAGTGAGGACGAGCCCTGCTTTTCCCCCACTACTGCTCGTGGGCATGTGAACAGTTGTGTCCTCGGAAGCCACCAAGCTATTTCACTGCCAGAAAGGATGCTCTCAAATCACGCCGATGGGAAGCCAAGTGCGTGTGTCAGGGACATGGCAACTTGTGCTCTCGGGCCCGCTGCCTCCGGGTCCCATCTCCTGCGTGCTGGCAGCAAGTGAAAGGCAATGTAAACGCATGGCTGGGAGCTGCCCATGTAAATGTGTGGCCGGTGTCAATCCAGTTTCTAGGTGAGACCTGTCCAGCACACCCATCCCACTGCCATGGCCAAGGGGGTCAGCAAAGGGGCTGAGAGGAAAGACGGGGCAGGCGGGAGGCTGGGCAGCCTGCTCTGGGTGCTGGATGTCACTGAGCAAACAAGGAGCAGGGCTAGCTGCTACCAGCTGGTAATTGCCACCCGTGGCCTGGGACCACCAGCACCCACTGCATTGCTGTCAGGCCTTGCCACGGTCCCACACCGGGGGAGTCAGGGTGGGGGACGGAGGCAGCTCTGCTATTGCTCTGCGTCCTGCAGAAGCACCTGCTCCTTACAGCAGTAACCGTAACCAGCCACGCAGAGTGTCTTTGCATTTGCTGGAGTGCAGTCCTGCACTTCGGCGAGCACCTTGCTGCAAGCTGTGTTTCTGTCTACAGGCTGAAAGAAAGAAGGACGGGGAAAGAAAAAGAGGCAATGTCCAGAGTTTTCATTCAGCGGTGCTTCCTATTTGGCCAAAGTGGAAAACAGAGGTGGTCTGTCACGGGGTAGCTTTGTAAACCCAAGGCAGAGGCAGGTCCAAAACCTGGTTATGAGAAAACAACAAAACCTGATGACTTCTCTTTTCAGGTCCAGGAGGAAAAAAAAAAAAAAAAAAAAAAAAAAAAGAGGCAGTTCCTGGCTGGTTTTCTTGCTCCATCTTGCCACGGCATGGTTCAGGCCCTCTGTTCCCCTCCTCATCAGTGAGAGCAGGTTCCCGTGCCTGCAGTTGTTTGTACCTCCTGCCCAGGAAGCGCAGGCAGCTGGCCAAGCAATCAAAGCCAGTTGCTGTCAGCCCTTTCCCTTCCTTAACTCTGCCTTTGTTATTTATGTACCTGTTTAGGCTGAAGACCCATATTACACGGAAAACGGTAGCCAGGGAAATACGATGTTGATGATGCCCCCCCAAGAGCACCCTGAGCTGCAGGAGAAGCCAAACCTCAACGGTGGGACGCAGGAGAACGGGACTGGCCAAGCGTCCTCCAAAAACGGCCACTCGGCCAGGCAGCACAGCCCCGCCGACACCGAGATGTGACCCGGGCAAAGCGCATCCTCAGCACGGACCGAGAGGGGAGCGGAGAGACAAGGGAGGGCAAGAGTTTTCTATGGACAGTTAGGGAATTGCAGACCTTTTTTTTTTTATTTTTTTTTTTTTATTATTATTATTATTATTTCTGTGAAGAACTTCAAAAGCAGCCTAAAGCACATTAAACACCAGAGCTGCCAAAGACCTGCTTCTCTGCCTCCTCCTGCTTCTCCCATTGACCACACAGGATACTTTTTTGCAGCTGTTCTCTGATTTTGTTGTTAGAAGAACATAATGAGAAATGCAAGTGCCCTTAGCCCCGAACAGCTTTTAAGCAGAGGCAGACTGAAGCTACAAAAGCCCTGAGCCAGACTCCAAACAGCCAAAATTTTTGGTGGCAGTGTGTCAGGTTGATTGAAGTAGTTAAATTGGGATTTCAGTGACAAAAACCTCTCAGGTTTAAGATAATTTTGGTTAACAGAGCTATTTTTTATCTCATCTTTATGTTTGAGTGCAGGATTTCTTCCTTTTTTAAGAACACCAGGCATTTAATCCCCCTTCTTGTGCTTTAGGTCTTCTTTAGTATTTCCTACTCCGGCAGAATTTGCTGAAGCTCTGTGTAAAACTTTCCACGCGGAATTGAAGACTGAAATGTGAATAGACCTCAAACTTGTTTCTTTTGCAATCCTACTAGTACGCAGGTAGTTGTTTTAGAGTAAAAATCTCCCCCCAGTCCCTTCGTGTCAGGGACTGGAGGTGGCGTTTTTGCAGCCAGAGCCAGCCATCAATGTCTTGAGTGAGATAGAGACCGTTTGATCCGGCTGGAGACGGCTCTGCAGACGCCTGGGGCTGGCAGTGCTCCCCCAGCCCCTCCCGACACGCTGGGGTTAGTGCCTAGGGTGGGATTTTGGGGATTAAAACATGCCAAAGGGCTCCCAGCGGGACGAATGCTAGACAGAAACCCGGCTCTGCTGCGGGTGTTTCTCCCTCTGCATGAACAAAAAGAAGTGGGTTTTGTTTGTTGTTTTTTTTTTTTTTTTTTTCCTTTGGTAAGTGAAGCCCAACACCAAATTCCCAACAGCCGGAGCAGGTCCCACCTCGCTCTGCACTGATCCTGCTCCCGAGGCAAGCGGTGCTGCAAGCCGCCTTGCCGAGGTTGGGCTACGTGCAGCTCGGTGAGAGCCAGGGGCAGGTTTGTGCTCGGCCCCGAGCGAGTGCAGCTCGTTTTTAGGGAGCCAAAGCTGGTGTTGGGCAAGGCCGGTGCTGGTGGTGCAAGACCACGAGAGGCCGAGGTTCAGCAAACGTTGGTCAGACCACGATCTCTGCTGGCACCAGCAGCGACCTCCACATCTGAAATAAGGACAAAAATGGCCCTTGAAGCTGATCTACCCTCTCGCTGCTGAATTTATTGCAACATTTTCTCAGTGCTGAACACCTGAGGGGAAGGCTTTATTTTTTGGTACAGTGCTTAAAGGAATGACAGCAACGTCCGTCATCATCTGGGGCTGTTTTCATGGGTGCAAGAGTCATTTAAGCACAGTTTAAAATATTACAGGTTTTGTTTGTTTCGGTGTGAATTGCTTCTCCTCAATCTCATTGTAAATAATCCCAGTTGAAAAAAAAAAAAAAAAAGAGTATTAAAAATCAGCTTCTCTGTTGTGTCCTTGGAACAACGGCGTGTTTATCCCACCGGGATGCGTGGGTCTGGCTGTGCCGTGTGCCAGCGCGATGAGGGGACAACGCCTCACGGAGAGGTTGTTTCCCAGCAGAAATACTGTGACTAAAGGCTGTGGCTTGTTCTCTGCACGTTTTCCCCGTTTCTCAGCAAACACATTTGCAGGACAAGCGATGTACAGCACGCTATGAAATCTTGTTTGTTTGATTTGCTGGTGTTTAGGATGCCCAGTTGATTCCTGGATAAATAAATGAGACTCCAATCTCATGGGCTGGGGTCTGACCCAAGAGCAGGGGTGGCTGTATGTGCATGAAGATGAAGATGAAGTCTTCCTCCCTCTGTGCACTGTGCAACAGCCATCAACGGCTCCTGCATCAAAGAATTTGCAGAGTGATGCAGGTCAGTCCTTTAATGCCTGTTCTGGTGCAGATGCTGGAGCTCCACAGAAAGCAGGAGGTTTGGGGCTGGGAATCTTTCCTGACCCTGCTCGCTCCTCTCCGGGATGCCCAACCCTTCCTAGTGCTTGTTCCCTGGACAGAGGCACACCGGGTGCTTTTTTGGAGGTGCTGAATTCAGCTAGAAACCACCACTGCCAGTTTTGTTGTAGTTTGGGGTAATCTGACCTCTGAAAGACTGGCTGCAAGGGGAACAGATGCAGGAAAATTAAATTACTTTCTCTCCCAAGAGCTCTGGCTGCCATGGAGTACAGGGGAGCTCTCCTGGAGACTTGATTTGCACTGGGGGGTAGGATAGGGAGCTGGGGTTGGCTTTTTTTGGTTGGGTGGTTGGTTTTTTCTTTTTTTTTGGCAATTGTTTATCTCATCAGCACTACTCGCTGTATCAAAAGTAGGAGATCTAATCAAACGTCAGGTGCATTCTTCACAGCTCAGGGTACGTCCTACAGCCAAGCGGAGACAATAAAGTTACAGTCAACTGCTTTGGCAAAACAAAAGCTTTCTCTAAAATATCCAGATTGAGGGAAATGCCGAGAGCGGCGGCGGCTGAGCGGGGACAGGGCCGAGCCAGCGGAAAAGCTGCTCTTCCAGCTCAGGAAGTTTTTTGCCTGTGTGTAAACACAGGCAGGCTCAGCTCTGGCCCAGCCATAAAGGTTATTATTATTATTATTATTATTATTATTCCTTCCTTATCAAATCCCTTACATTCCTTCCTCGCCAGCCCCACCGTCTGCCGGGCAGCCTCCTCCTCTCGCCAACCCACGCTGCCTGCAGGCTCCCAGCTGCTTTTGGGCCACTTTTGGGGGCTTTTGGGGATGGCAAATCCATCTCAGCTTCCAACAGCTGCCTGCTTTCCCATAAATGTGATTCAAGGCTGATGCGAGTGCTCTTGCCTGGTTCATGATCTCATGTCCTGCTTATATACAGCACATATATAGTCAGTTTAGCTGGTGGGGCCCCTTATATCAGCATGAAATGCCCTGATGAAAATAATCAACATGAAAGCATCCTCTGGGGAAGAATGGTGGCAAACACATCTACAAGGTGTTAAAAATATGAATATAAATGTGACACAGCCATTAAATGACGTGTCCAGGTCCCAGCCTGAAGCAGAAGCGGGAGCTCTGACACCCGCCCAGGCAGCCCCAGAATCCTCCTGCAGATTGAAATCAAGGACTATTTCAGAAATGAAGGAATACCTTCCTATCTGAACGGCCATAAATGTTACTGTGGGTTGAAGGTGGCTTGCTCTGTGCATTGTTGAAACCAAACAAATTTATCAGAGCAAACAAGTTTTAATTAAGTCTTATTAACAATGTCCCGCAGTGCATCTTCCATCCCCTTCGTAATAACAACAATACCTTTCCAGGTGAGAAAACTCCTGCCCTGCAGTATCACAAGCCCTCCACAGCAAACCAGCACATCACAGAACAGAAGAAAGTAGCTCCTTTCTCTGTTTGCTGGCTGTTAATTTCTTTTTCCTTGATTTAGCGCTGGGAAGGGCAGCCCTGATGCCCGACACCCCTCAGCATCAGGCTCAGTCTTGCACAAACAGCAAGACACTCCGTTTCTACTCATGGCCCTTCAAAGCTATCAGCATTCGGCCTTGTGCTGTGCCTTGGAGACCCCCAGGAAAATATGAGCTTTCCTGGTGCTCTCCACACCCCAGACCTGCCGGGACAGATTTATTTAAGCATTGGGCCAAAATTTCGGTTTAAGGGCAGATGCCTCACATGCCTTGTCGCGTCATGAGATTTTGTACCTCCTGTGAAATTTTGTTTAATGCAGTTTAGCTTAGAGACTGCAGAAATAGTACTTCTCCTTAATTACAGCAGGTAAGTGTTCACCTCTGCAGCACTGGCTGCAGCCCAGCAGAACGAGAGCTCGGTGCCTGGCCTGCTGCACAGAAATGGGCCCAGACTTACATGCACCAAAGTTTTTGCATGGCTGAAACCCCAGCCGAAAGAGTGTGGGGTGTATTATATATACCAATGCTGCTATCTGCTGGCTGTGCTTTGCTAAAACATTTACTGCTTTGCTCTGGAGGGCAGCTGGTGATCGGTGCTGGTGCCGGCTCAGAGGCAGCACCTGAAGAAGAGTCCGGCTCCACCACAATCCCCCGCTGCACCCCGGGGTGCTGGCAACACCCACGAGAGGCCAACATACCTACATGCTGAAATTATGAAAGAAGTAATACAGACAGTGGGCTTTGAAGCTCATATTCTTGGAACAGGGAACATCTAAAATGAAATTTCTAAACTGAATTTCCCATCAATCCACTTCCCATCTGCTTGTTCGATGCCTGATCCTGCAAAACTCATGTGGGAGTTCTACAATATTTGCTGCACCATCTGCTGCAAGGCCACGCAGGCTTTTCCATCCAAGCACAGGGAAAGCAGAAGCACAGGCAGGCTCTGAGAACGTCCCGTTACACTTCAGGTGGCTGATGGTGAGGAAGCTGGGCCGTGCCCTCGGCTTCCTCCAGCCAGTCCTGCTGAATTCGGGTGTTTGTACCAGTTTTGAGTCAGCCAAAAGCTCAGTCATCATCAGAGGGCTATAAAGACATCTCCCAGCATTGCTAAAGGGCTCGAGCTCATTTCCTTTTCTCTGCTTTTCTAACCATAGAAAAGAAACCAGTGTCTTATAATGCCCGTGTCTATAATCTGTCTGCACCAGTGTGGTATTTTTGCCTTTGCTTTCAAGGTAAACAGAACAGCACCTGTGTAGGGCTTTTCCATCCCCCAGAAAAAATTATCTTTACAACTATTTGCCTTACAGGCACTTCACAGGTGTTTTAATTTTAAGTCTTTAATCTTAGCCTTCAGATCCATTTAATTTGCTGGTGTTTTGATTTGTAGTAACAGACGTAAATGAGATTATCTGTCCCTTGAGATAAACTGTCAAAGGCAAATGCTGAAGAATTGGGCTCTAAAAACGTTTTAATATGCTGGTGTTGCAAACCCTGAGATGGAGCCAGAGATGAGCACAGATTAGTGGGAGCCAGGACTTGGGTCTCAAGCACCCCACGCCGTGCGACAGGGGCCTTTGGGCTGGAGCACAGAGCACGGCCCCGCTCGCGGGCTCACCCGCTCGCTTCATTTCTTAAGGCCCCACAAGGACAGGAGGAAACACCTTCACGGTGCGCAAAGAAAGTCTGCTTAAAAGAGCCGTGAGGCTTCAAGTTTTCTTTTTTGAACCTCAAAAACACGTACGAGGCAAGAATGGGTAAGCCTGGGGTGCTGTTTCTGGGGAAGAGGGTTGGTTTGGAGGGGGCGGCTGCGGAGTCGGATGCGGGAATTGCATTGGGTTAAGATTTTCCTATGGAAAATTGTTTGTGTTTTTCTTCTGGAGAAAAAAAAAAAAAAACAAAGGCAAACAATTTTGGACTGTTTTTTCTGTTAGTTTTCTAATGGAAAGTTACTTAGTTGGGGGAAAAGGAGACTAATTCCAGTTTCTAACTCTAACTGTAGAAAAAAGTGGTCTGAAAACAGCTATATCTCTTGGCTTGCATAAGATGTGGATGTCCCAAGAGCCTCTACCTAGGAAATTTATTTTCAAGATACATATTTTTTTAATTCCTATAAATTAAATAATGCATTACTCTACTGACCCTTGGTTATTTGTTTGCTATTTCTGGTTCTTGTGATATTTTTTCTTTATTTCTTTAATCTGCGTGTTTGCATCTTCCTTCTTTTCTTATCTTCTGCCTGCCCCAGAGGCTTATTGCTGCTCTGGCAACATGCTAGTATGTTTAGGAATGATAAGACACCTAATTAATAGTTTAATTAGCAGTACAAGGTCTTAATAGCTTATTAAAGGAAATACATTCTGAAAATTCTTTTCCTTTTCTTGTGTTGGTACAATATAATTTACCAGCAAAAGATAAAACAGTTTTGAGCAGCATTCAGACTTTTAGTAAGAAAAGTGGTGCTGGATTCATGATTTCACGGGGGATTTTGCACCACTAATACTTTTTTTTTTTTTTTTTTTGCTGTTGTTTAAAAACAATTTAACAGATTAACAAAAGCAATCGCGAAGGAACAATGCCGCTGTGGAGTGGCAGGCAGGAGCCTGACGCGCCTGAAAGTGGCACTAAGTAAACCTGCCTTCCCTACTTCTGCACGTAAACAAGTCCTGGGGAAGGTAAACTTGCTCTTTAAGGGGCTCTGGCTGAAATGTCAGGTTGGCTCCAAGCTGGGGCAGCTCAGCCGCTAGCAGGCTACGAGCCCCTCCACTCCTTTTTCACTAATATTTGTTAAAACTGATTATTTTTATACGAAGGCATCCTTGGCTTATAAACTCCAGCAGAGCAAGGGCCACCTATAAACCCTCTGGATCCCTCTGGCTTTTACCAGTCAGAAACTCAGCATTAAATCCTGCGTCGCAGGCGGAGAGCGGAGGGAAATCAAACCGAGCTGCGCCGCTTCGCTCCGGCTCGGATTCCCCAGGCCGCCGTGTTTTTCCTCTGACCCACACAAAGATTTCTTTCTAAATTTATCACAGCGTTCATCGGC